CTAAGTGCTGGTCCGCGTGTGCGCGGCCTCCCCGAGATCCTCCGCCGCTCCCGCCTCTCTGACCGCCGCGCCCTGATGTTCTCAATTGCTCCCCGCAAGCCGCACCCCCCTGGAGACGGGCCAGCGCGCGCTGACATTTGTGGCCTGCCCAGGCATGCTAGCGTTATAAGGCGGTGATGGAGCAGTCCTCGTGCGAGGGCGCGTTCGTGCCCCGGCGTTTGGGGCGCCGCAGGATGGCGATAAAAGGGGCGGCCCGTTTTGCCAGGGACTCAATTATCGCGAGACGCCCATCGAAACTACTATCACAGTGCATCGAGTGTCGCTCGGTCGCCAGAGCCCCTTGGAAGCGGGATTGCCGGCTCGCGGATCGATTTGACCTGGCTGCCCCTATCGCTCGTGAACGTCTAGTTGTTCTTGCTTTCGACACTACTGTGGAGCTGAAGGATTCAGTTCGTTTCTTCCAGCTGTCGAATGATGTTCGCTTGCGCCTGATTGCGGACTCCCAGAAGCGGACCCAGGAGCACATGTGCGAAGATGCCCCCTCTCCCGTGCCCGAGCCAATTTTGTGCGGGAGCTCGCGGGTCTGGAACGCCGCGGGGAGCTTTGGTTACCCTTCGGACGCAAACTCGGCCTCGCTGGCCTCGCCCCCCCCGACGGATCGGCCGCGCGCAACCCTGAAATAATGCTCGAATGTCTGGCTCGGCACTGGGGGGTCTGTTCGGAGAAGCCCATGGGCGCCGCTGCCGCTGAACGACGCGTCCAGAAGTTCATGGGGGGTATCGATCTCTCCAACCTCAAGCCTCCTACTGAATCTGATGTTTCTCGCCATCTCCGGCAATGCCCGTCGAGCGCCCCAGGCCCCGACGGGCCGGCCTACGAGGGCTGGAAGTGCCACCCCGAGGGCCCCAATATGCTCGCAGATCGCATGCGCTAGATGCTGGAGGGGAACCCCTTCGGGCTCGACTTCGATGATGTCCTCGCTGTCTTCTTGGCGGTGGTCGATCAGCCCGGCGACGCCGCTGGCCCTGTTCACGAGCCGGATGCGACGAGACCGCTTGGGTTCAGGAGCGCAGATTGCAGGGTGGTCGCCGCTGTCTGCGCTAAAGAGTCGACGAAATCATTGCCGTCTCATGCCGACCCTGTCCAAAGAGGCTTCGTCCTGAAGAGGGACCTGGGGGCCAACTTAATGAGCTCGACGCTTGCGCGAGGATGACTGGACTCGAGCCTGCTGCTGATGAGCGTCTCCCCTTCCTCCTCGCCTTCGATCTCAGCCGCGCCTTTCCCTCAGTTTCCCGCTTATGGATATTTCTGGTCCTTTCTGCCTGTTCTCTCCCTCTTCTTATGCTTTTTCTGCGAGCTTATCTATCGCTTCGTCTGTTGCCTCGATCAATCTAATGCCTCGCCCCCCTTCGCTTTTTCCTTGGGTCTGGCGTCGTTCAGGGGCGCCCCGCCGTCGGGGTCGCTGCGCGCCCTTGCGCTCCAGCCTTTCAGCGCCCACTTTTGCTTCGAGATCCTCGATGAGTCTAGAGGGGTCATCAGATGCTGCGCGGACGACGTCGGCGGTGTCATTCGCAGGGTTCGCCGGCTTAAAAAATTGAGCGCTATATTCGCCACCGCCGAGAGAGTTGCGGGGCTTCTCCTCGAGATTTCAGACTGCTTCGCGGCGCCCCGCTGCTCCAGCTCACCTAAGCTCATGGCGAGAGTGCAGGCTCGCAGCCGAGCTGCCAGCCTGGGCAAAATTTGCGATCGCGTCGCACTTCGCTTCTCTTGAGCCGAAGAGAGGCTCAAATGTGGTGCGCCAGGTTTGGGGCGAGCCGCTCGAAAACTATGTCGCCGGTGCGTCGGCCGCTGCGCGCGCAAGGCCGCCCCCCGCGGTCGCTGCAAAGCTGTGCAACCAGAGGGCCGTCTCCATTCTCGGCTGCCTCTCCCAATTTGCCTCTCCCCCCTGCGCGCCTCCCTGGAAGAGCGCGCCGATCTTGCCGGCCAATTCGCCATTGCGCATTGCGACCGCTCCCGGGCTGATTTCTTTGACCTTGCAGATTGGGGGGGCCCCCGGTTCCATGGCCGCGCTGTCGCGCATCTGGCCGCTCCGATCCGTTGCGCGGGGCGCGCGTTCGAAGGTCGGCCGCAGTTCTTTGAAGTTGAACGCCTGCGCGGACCGAAACCCCCCGATCGTCCGAGTTTTGGCGGGCGACCCTTTCCCTGCGCGCTGGGCCCCCCCCTGGTCAAAGTGTTATCTGATGCTGCTGGCGGTTTCTGCGGCCGTCTGAAATTTGGCGCGTCCGCGGCTGGCGCCGCCCAGGTCGCCCGTCGGGCGAAGAGCGACCCCGAGCTTGTGTGCAATATTCAGCGTCTTGTTTCTGCCAGTCTGCTCTCGTCCCTGTGCCCCTCCTCCTTCCGCCTGACCTTCGCCCGTCGCCTCTTGTCTTATTTCCCTGCCTCTTCCCCCGCTAGCGCGGGCGTCGACTGGGGGGCGGCGCGGCAGGTGGCGCGGAAGCCCCCCTCCTCGTGGGCCATTGGAGTTGTGAAGACGCTTTGCGGAGGATGGCCCTCGAGATCTCGTCTTTACGAACGCGGGGAGTTGCTGCGTTGTCTAGGCTGCCCGACTTGGTGCCATCTCCCGCTGTCTTATTTGCCCCAAATTTTTGTTTCTCGTGAGTGAGATTGTTCAGCGGGTTTTGCCGGAGTGCTCCATCGCGCGCCTCGGTCTCCTCGCCCCTCATCGGCTCGTCGTTCGCCGTTGCCGTCGCGCGGTGCTCCCTCGACCTACGCCTCTTCATTTCCAGCTGGCGTTGTCGGTGCCGGGCGTTCCGCGTCGAGGAGCTCGGGCTGTGCCCCCGCAAGCGCGCGATTGCGCGCGCGGGCCGCGGGGCGCCGGTGGTTGACCATGAACCTGCTTGCGCCAGCCACGCGCCAGGAGGAGATGGAGGAGGATGGGGGGGGATGGGGGGCGGGGGATGGGGGATGGAGGATGGAAAAATGCGGATTGAGGGTTGAAGATGGGGGATGAATAATGGAGGATGTGAAGGATGAGGATAATGATGATGAGGTGTAATAGGTCTTCTATCACGAAGGAGTGATAAGGCGACTAAGGCGAAAATGAATAGCAATGATAAGCATACGAGGAAAACTAGTCATGTTTATATAACTAACGTTAATATCGTTTGTACTACGAGTAGTACCATTCAGGCGGATACTACCAGTAGAATGCTATTGCTGCTGCTATTATTACGGTTGCTAAGCAACATGACAACAACATCACGAATTATACGGCCAAGCGTAAGGAGACAAATCGTACCAATGCTAATTATACTGCGAGTAATCCTTCGAATGTTGAGAAAACGAGCGCTATACGAATGAGAATCATACTGCGAACGACTAACAATACCGAACGCATAATCTTACGATTATGGAGAGTATTGTTGCTGTTGCGAATAGTAAGTGTACACCGAAGACACCGAACACAACTAGTATTTAATACGTAGGTCAGTAATACGAAGCATAATAAACAACAGGGTGATCTGACAACTTACACTTGTAAGAAGAATCGTATCCATATTACGAGTAATATAACATATTTATACGAATAATCAAACTATGAAGGCTGATGCTACCAGTTGTATCGTGATTGATAGTAGCAGTATTAATAGTAACGTGGATCGTACGAATCAGATGAATAAGATTACTACGATGGCGACGGTTGACACATTTATCATTACTAATGAGAGTACGAATGCTAATGGTACGTGTAATGACGCTATAATTAGAGATGCGCGCGAAATTGACGATACTGCCAATCATCCCTGGAATAATAACGCTAATACGAACACGAGTAATAATCCTATGACGAACCGCAACATTAAACATACATTGAATCGTATACATACGAGTACGAAGGATCTATTCACAATACTAGGGATGTTGACGGTCATCATAATGCTATTATCACTTCTAGGAGTTACTTCACGAGTGATAGCAGTAGTACTGACAATTCCAGTAATCACAACAAACTAAGAATACGAAAACAGTAATACGAGGAGTAATGCGAATCATCATGATATCAATAAGAGGAAGTGTAAGACAATGGCGGGGGAGGAGGAGGTGGATGGAGGATGGTGGATGCAGGAGGGCCCCCCTGGAGGCCCTGCGCCGCATGCGATGCAGGGGCCGCCGCCGCGGTGCTTGGGGTTTCCGGCGGCGATGGGGGCGCGCCGAGCCAGAGGCTCGGCAAAAACCCAGCGGGAACCCTGCGGCGGGCCGCGCTGCGGCTCCTCCCCTGCTCGTCTCGCGCGCGCCTGCCGGCCCGGGGTTACTGCGTGGCGCGCGCTGGGCAGGCCTCGGGGGAGGACAACGGTGCAGACCCACCTCGTTCCCCCCCCCCTCTCCACCCCATCCAGGTTTAGACAGGAGGAGAGCAATCAGTGGTCAGAGGAGGAGGGGGCATGGAGGAGGAACGAGGTGTACCCGCGTACCCGCTCGGCCCCTGAAGGCCCAGAGCAGAGCACGAACCGACTCGAGAGCGCCGAGGCTCTGCCACCGCGCGCTCCAGGCCCTGCGGGGGCAGCGCGTGCCTTCCGGAGGGCGGCGGAGTTCTGCACCTTCCAGGAAGCGCGCGGCTTCGTCATGAGGCGGCCTCGCCCAAGGGGCTGCGGGACCCTTCCCTCCTCTCCTCTCCTCTCCTCTCCTCGCCTCTTTTCTCCTCTCCTCTTTCCTCCTCTCCCTCCTCTCCTTTCCCCTCCTCTCATTTCCTCTCTCCTCTCCTCTCCTCTCCTCTCCTCTCCTCTCCTCTCCTCTCCTCTCCTCTCCTCTCCTCTCCTCTCCTCTCCTCTCCTCTCCCCTTCTCTCTCCTCTCATCTCCTCTCCTCTTCTGTCCTCTCCTCTCCCCTTCTCTCTACTCTCCTCTCCTCTCCTCTCCTCTCCTCCTCCTCTCCTCTCCTCTCCTCTCCTCTCCTCTCTCCTCTCTCCCTCTCTCCTCTCTCCTCTCTCCTCTCTCCTCTCCC